TGTATGTGTATATACACATATATGCATAGGTGTGTTGAGGGTATATATATATTAGAAATATTGGGCTTTCTTTTGGGACTATTGCTCTTGCTTCTCTAGCTTAAATGTTCAAGGACTTGAAGCCATGCTTCTTCTGTTATACATTGTAGATATAATTGATGATTTCCCCTGAATAAGTGAAAAGTGGGCTTAGCTTACTGTACAGTTATTATTTTATATATATGTATATATTTGCATGCACACACACACACACACACACACACACACACACATTCCTTTGACATTAATTCCAAAAATATCTTTCTTTCTTCTTATAGTTTGCCAGCATCAACCAGTCTGGGACCCAGCAATGTGCACCCAGATCCTTGGAAAAGTGAGAGCCGGGCAGTCCCGGTATTATGGTATTATATGCAGCCCCTGTTCCTATTTTCAAAGCTCCATTTGATTCAGTGACTTCCAAATAGGCTTACACTTTAGAAAGGGCTTGCTGCTTTATTTGGAGGAGATGCTCCATGCCCCGCATTGCTCTCTTGTCAGCACTTAGGAGTCTTTTCTTGTAATCGTATACATACTGGAGCTCTGTTTCAACCTGCCTAAAGCTATCTCTCCTCCAGCTGTTTCAGAGTCACACTGATCCAAGGAACAGGGATTTATTCCTCTCACATTTAACAGGAGGAAAGCTTGAAGTAGCATAACCTGATAAACATTCCCCAACTGGGCCAAAGACTATTTTCTGTGCTGTTCCAGTAAGTGTTTCTCCCTAGCTGCTGAAACTAAGAGGCACAGATTTACCTATTCATCATTGCGGATCCACTCTCGGGTAGTGATGCAGCCGTGGTTGAAGCTTACCTCACATCGCCTCTCTTATGGAGGCCACAAAAGCACTTTGAAAACTATAATGCCTTATAGCAATGTAGGGTACTATTGCAATTATGTTAGAAACAGCAACCCATTAAAGAGTAAAGTTTTTTTGCATAGATCATACCCACCTCTCATTCCTTTATCACCATTTATGTGAACTACTTTGGAACTAACTTGTCTTGTTCCTTGGTGTCATTAACAGTCTATTCATGTTATGACAGAGGGGTACAAAGAAGACGTCAACATTTCAGGAGTATTCCTTTGTTTTTAAAAAATGTCTGCCTAGGCACCATGACTCATGCCTGTACTCCCAGCACTTTGGGAGGCCAAGGCAGGAGGATCGCTTGAGCCTAGGAGTTCAAGACCAGCTTGGGCAACATAGCAAGACTTCATCTCTACTAAAAAATTTAAAAATTAGCCAGATGTGGTGGCCCATATCTATAGTCTCAGCTTCTCAGAAGGCTCAGGCAGGAGGATTGCCAGAGCCCAGGAGTTCAAGGCTGCAGTGAGCCATGATCACACCACCACACTCCAGCCTGGGTGACAGAGTGAGACCCTGTGTCTAAAAAATGATAAATAAATGTGATGAACATTGATTAATTGTAGGTGCATGAGTATTTTTATTAACATCTATGCTTTTTCTAATTTATAAATATCTCCAAATTTTTTTTAATTCTGTGAGCAGAACATGATAACTACTAGGTAAGGCTAAAACATAATTAGTATATAAGAAACAGGACCTAATTCCATTAAATCCAAAGATAACTTCTTTTTTTTTTTTGAGACAGAGTGTCCCTGTGTCACCCAGGCTGGAATACAGTGGCACGATCTTGGCTCACCACAACCTCCATTTCCCAAGTTCAAGTGATTCTCCTGCCTCAGCGTCCCAAGTAGCTGGGATTACAGGCATGCACCACCATGCCTGGCTAATTTTTGTATTCCTAGTAGAGATGGGGGTCTCACTATGTTGCCCAGGCTGGTCTAGAACTCCTGAGTGCAAGCTATCCACCTGCCTCAGCTAGATTTGTAATCCAGCCAAAATGCTAGGATTACAGGGTAAGCCATCATGCCTAGCCTGATATATATAATGTTTATGGATTCCAAAATATGTGTCAAAAGTATAAAATCATGTGGTGGAATGGTAGATGCTGAATTAATAAGAGTGATTTTGATATAGTGATAAACAAATTGAGGTAGAAGAGAAATATAATCAGTTAATAGTACATGGGCCCTCAGTGGATTGACAATGCTTTCTATTTTTAAAGGGAAGCAACATTATGTGATAATGTTAAGATTTGAAAAAGCTGAGTTATGGATGGATGTGTGCTCCTATATGAGTTTCTTGCTTATGTGCATGAACAACTTCACAGTTTTTCAAATGTCATTGTTAAAACTTCATATTCCATTGTGCTGGTCATTTGAACTTTTTCACTTATTTTATTGAAATCTGATAGAAAACAACATGCAGAGATAATTTTGGAAGTAGAAGGGAAGAGGACACACACAAAGTGGGGACATGAGAGATACGACTTACAGTTAGCAGAACAGGAAATGAAGATTCGTATATTAAGAAAATTACTAAAGAGGAACTTAAGTAAGTAGATTGCCTAAAATTACAATAAAGGAACTAAAAATAATGAGAACGTCCATATTGGGAGGGAGGAGGGTGTAAGTGAACTAAGTTCTCATCTATAGGAAGGAAGTCCACAGATAAAGCCTGTCTGTCTGATAAATAAAGAAGTGGCGATATGACTGTATTATTTAGAGATAGGGAAGTAACTACCCAGAAGAATTTTTTAAACTGTGGCTGTTAAAAAGTCAGTCTTGGCCAGGTCTGGTGGCTCATGCCTGTAATCCAAGCACTTTGGAGGCCAAGGCAGGCGGATCGCCTGAGGTTGGGTGTTCAAGACCATCCTGACCAACATGGTGAAACCCTGTCTTGAAAAAAAAAAAAAAAAAAAGTCAGACTTGATCTAGGGTTTGAGTGGAAGGCAAAGAGGTGGGTTGGGGGGTGGGACGGAGCAGCAATGCTTTTTACTTTTTACAATAAGCTTTTCAGCATTGTCGACTTTTTTGTAAATATGTACATGTACTGCTTTGGTTGAAAAATTTTGTTGAAGCTAACACAATAGTAAAACAAACCATTGGACCCAAGAAAATGTTCTTCTCTTCAATAATCTGACCAAGTGCCTATTCACTTCTTCTTTTTTTTTTTATGTAGAGTTTCGCTCTTTTTGCCCAGGCTGGAGTGCAATGGTGCAATCTCAGCTCACTGCAACCTCCACCTCCCAGTTCAAGAGATTCTCCTGCCTCAGCTTCCTGAGTAGATGGAATTACAGGCGCCTGCCACCATGCCCAGCCAAATTTTTGTATTTTTAGTAGAGATGGGGTTTCACCATGTTAGCCAGGCTGGTCTCAGACTCCTGATCTCAGGTGATCCACCTGCGTTGGCTTCCCAAAGTACTAGGATTACAGGTGTAAGCCACCTCACCTGACCCTATTTACTTCTTTTTTTTTTTTTTTTAAGTGGAAGCCAGTTTACTAATCAAGTAAAAGAATCAAAGAATCCCTATTCACTTCTTGACCTGTGTTGCATACTTGCTAATAAATTATGTATATTTTCATCTTTTAATTGGTATTCTGAATGATCCTTTTACTTTCTGTTTTTTTTTTTTTTTTTAAAGACAGGGTTTCACCATGTTGGTCAGGCTGGTCTTGAACTCCCGACCTCAGGTGATCCACCCGCCTTGGCCTCCAAAGTGCTTGGATTACAGGCATGAGCCACCATACCCGCCCACTTTCTGTTTTTCTTCGTTTTACTTTTTGCCCTCTGCAAACATTTTAGAAGTGATTTTTCTATACAAAAATTTGAAGACTATTCACTTCTCGAAAGCGTGTTTCTGACAGACAGTTAAATGAAACAAAGAAGGCTTCTACAATTCAGCTGGGTTTAAAATATGCCTATGACAAATAGAGACAGAATGTAGATTTGGGCTGGGGGGCAGGGATGAACAGTAACTGCTAATGGGTTGCCATCATTTTATCTGGGGTGGGGGGTAAAAATATTTTGGAATTAAACAGTGGTGATGCTTACACATCTTGGTGAATATACTAAAATCCACTAAATTGTACACTCTAAAGGAGTGGATTTTATTGGCATGTGAAATATCTTAACAAAAAAATGCCTGTGAAAACATGCCTGTGAAAAATACTGCAAGGGAATAAACCAAAATGATCATCATTGTGTTATATTCAGGGGATATTTTTTCTATTTTCTATTTCCCTAAAGTTTTGGTAACGTGATAATAGTTTCATAATTTAAGAAATATTTTATTTTTGCGACAGGGTCTTCCTCTGTTGTCCAGCCTACAGTACAGTGGTATGATCACTGCAGCCTCAACCTCCTGAGTTCAAGTAACCCTGACACTTCAATCTCCTGAGTAGCTGGGACCACAGGTGCACTGAACCACGCCTGGCTAATTTTTTATTTTTCATAGAGACAGGTGCTCACTGTATTGCTCAGGCTGGTCTTGAACATCTGGGCTCAAGTGATTCTCCTACCTCAGCCTCCCAAAGTGCTGGGATTACAGAAATAAGCCACTGTGACATGCATGAGAGTTATTATTTATTTATTTATTTATTTATTTATTTATTTTAGACAGAGTCTCACTCTGTTGCCTAGGCTGGAGTGCAAGGGTGTGATCTCAGCTCACTGCAACCTCCCCTTCCTAGGTACAAGTGATTCTCCTGCCTCAGCCTCCTGAGTAGCTGGGATGACAGGCATGTGCCACCATGCCCAGCTAATTTTTGTATTTTTAGTAGAGATGGGGTTTCACCATGCTGGTCAAGCTGATCTTAAACTCCTGATCTCGTGATCCACCCGCTTTGGACTCGCAAAGTGCTGGGATTATAGGTGTGAGCCACCATGCCTGGCCAAGAAATATTTTAAAGTAACATCATTAGCCTGGTTGTGTGGTACCATCCAAGTTTTCCTCTTAATTCCAAAACATTTTTAATTTTCTCTTGCACCCTAATGCACATAGTTGTTCATTGTTTAATCTATTTTTTTTTATAGTTTTGGCTTTGGTGTTACTGTTTAAAAAAAAATTTTTGAGGCAGCATCTCTTTCTGTCACCCAGATTAGAGTGCAGTGATGCAGTCATGGCCCACTGCAGCCTCTACCTCCTGGACTCAAGGAATCCTCCTACTTTAGCCTCTCAAGTAGCCGGGACCACAAGTGTGTACCACCATATCCAGTTAATTTTTTTTTTTCATAGAGACAGGGTCTCACTACGTTGCCCCAGGCTAGTCTCCAACTCCTAGGCTCAAGTGATCTACCTACCTCGGCCTCCCAAAGTGCTGGGTGTGACCAGGTGTGTGCCACCATGCCTGGCCTGGCATTACTCTTATAAAGAGTTCACCATGGTAAGGTTATAAAAACATTTCTATGGGCTGGGCATGGTGGCTCACGCCTGTAATCCAAGCGCTTTGGAGGCCAAGGCGGGCGGATCACCTGAGGTCGGGAGTTCAAGACCAGCCTGACCAACATGGTGAAACT